CAGAATATCATCCATCGTCTTATTCTTGAGGCGTGCCATAGATGAAGTTGGGCCGCTAGTTGACGCGCCCAAGGTGTTAGTCTGAGACGCCATAGGCTTAGGTGCAGCCGATTCTGTAGCCGGTGTGGCTTTAGCAGCGTTGGTAAAGAGTGATCCTGCCGAGGGTGCTGTGGTAGTGGCGGCCGAGGCTGTCGTAGTAGGGGCAGAAGCACCGGAAGCGGGTGTACTTGTAGTCAAGGCTGCGGCTGCGGCCGATGGGGTTGCAGTCGACGCCGGCGCTGCAGCAAATAGACTTGGAGGCTTTGAGGGCTCCGAAGCGGCACCGGTGGCAGCGGGCTTCCCAAACTGAAGTTTTGGAGGTTCGGTGGTGGTTGTGCTAGCGGCAGGCTTGTTTAGATTTCCAAAGAGTGAGGGAGCCGATGTCGCGGCAGGTGCAGGTGTCGAAGAACTGGGCGTTTGACCTGCGCCTGCGCCTGTGCCGGCAACACTAAGGAATGGAGATGGTGTTGAAGACGCGCCATTGCCAAACAAAGAAGCCGGCTTGGCTGCCGGCGCGGCGGGTTCGGCAGGTTTAGATTGGCCTTGTGCAAAAAGTGAAAGAGGGCTCGGCCCGGGCGCAGAGCTAGCGCCGCCCGTACTGATTGGCTTTGAACCGAACATCGAGGAAGGCTCAGCTGGTTTTGTAGCGGTGTTGCCGAAGAGGGATGTAGACGTAGATGTAGCTGCAGCGGGTTTCTGGGGCTGGCTAGCAGCGGAGAATAACGAGGTGGATGGCTGGGTTGTTGCAGGCTTCGGCTGCGAGCTAGCCGCGTTGGCAAACAGACTGGTCGTTTGGTTCTCCCTTTTTTCGCCTTGCGCAGTAGAGGGGAACAAGGATGAGGCGCTCGGTGCAGCAGCAGCAGCAGCAGTGGTGGCACCGAAGAGACTTACCCCACTGGGCGGTTTGGACGTGTTCGCTGGAGGCGCCCCAGCGGGTGTTGTGGAATTGAGGGCGGCGAACAAGGGCTTTGCGGGCGTTGCCTGTGCCTGGGCAGTGGTCGTAGTGTTAGAGCTTGTGTTACCAAACAGAGAGCCTCCTGTGGTACCACCACCTCCCCCGAACAGACCACCAGGCTTGCTAGTACCAGTACCAGTTCCCTGACTAAGTGCGGAGGTGTCTGGCTTTAAAAGACCGCTGCCAGGAGCGGTCGTGGTCGTCGGCGGCGTACTTGCTGCTGCTGCTGCTGTAGTGATACTCGGAGCTGAGGGCGTGCTACCAAAGAGACTGGTGCTCGTACCCGTTCCCATTCCCGTGGATGCTGCCGCTGGCTTACTTCCGAACATGCTGGTGCTTGAGGCTGTCAGCGATGATGCACCAAAAAGACCGCCACCAGTACCTCCCCCCAACGATGGTGTAGACGAGCTAGGAGCAGCGCTGCTCGGGGCTCCAAAGACGGATTTCTGTTCGCCCGGTTTCGCAGCCGCGCTACCGAACAAACCACCGCTTGGAGCGCCCGATGAAGCAGGCGTGGCGCTGTTGCCGCCGCTGGCCGCGTTTCCGAAGGAGAAAGTCGGGATGCTCTTCGCTTGGCCACCAAAAAGACCACCCGATGACGCTGCGGGTGCCGTCGACGATCCAAATAACCCACCACTGGCTGGCGCGCTGGAGGTGGTTGCATTGTTGTTGGGTTGCCCCGAAGAGCTGGGGGCGCCGAAGAAGGACATGATGTGACGCTGCTCGTTCCACGGGGAATGCGGCTCGTTCGATTACGGAGGTGGGAGGCGGTTGGTTATATGTGTCAAGGTGGAATGTTGAGTTGAATCGGCGGCCCTCAAAGACACACAATCATCCCCGGGCCGCAGGAATCGACAAGCTTGAAGATTGAAAGGGTTGAAAGGGTGGTCGGTGAGTGGATGGGTGTCTTGCGTGTCTTGCTTCGCAGGGAGAGGTGGGAAAGGGACACGTAAATGCGGTTTATTCCAGGGAGGTATCTAGATGATAGATAGATGCGGCAAGATAGGCAGGACTCATAGAGGTTTGGGTTGGATTGCCTAGTACCTCCGTCACTGTAGCAATCTAGAAAATATCTACACTACCGACACCTATCTAGGTATACGCCTAACTTTTTGCGCGACAAGCTCTCATCAGCAACCTAGCTGGTACGCTACGCGCCGCTATCTACAGGCAGCTGGATCAGCTATGCCAGGTGTGTGACAGCTGGTTTGACATCTGGCTCAGCGTCCGAAGCTTGAGCCCCAGTAGACAGTGCGTAGAATATAGATAAACGGTACGCTACTCAACACCACACTACCAATTAATTAGGCAAGTACCGCCAAGTACAGTAGGCACTACTGTAGAGATAGGCTTAGTCTATCCAAGAGTCTATTGGAGCTTTCCCATTATTATAGGTTATAGAATCGACCCGGGCGGTCTAGACCCCTTATGTATGCTGTAGGTCGATCAATTCAGAGGTAACCATACCTCTCCTATACCTGTAACATGGTACCGAGAGTGCTCCTCCAGCTTCAATCATTCGATACCTATTCGATGTCTCCGATCCCCTAACCACAATCCCGATCCTAAGCATTAGTCCTCAGGGGAGTACCTAGAGTAACTATCTAGACCCCTGTCAATTTATGTTTCCTTTTGAACAGGTTGCATAGGCAGAGGCGTCAATTAACATCAACCTCTAACACTCGAAACGGTCCTTGAAAGCTACAGTACATATCTACATCTTAAATCCATTCGCAACTTTAACACAGTATTCTTTGCCTCTGCCCGCCAGACAGCTACTCAGCTCGCTGCTCTCTACCCCTCAACTTTCAATCCTCAACCCTCAACCGATCGTCTTGCGTTACCACACTTGGACATTCAACCCTGCTATCGTCTTCCGTCTGGTCCACCTGTTGGTTCTTGCTCGCAGGCGTGCAATACTGTATTGTATTGGGGCTCGGTATCTAGCCACCGCACTACCTCTCCCGTTATGTCTGGGGAGCGCAGGCCTTCCACCAGTCTCGAAGCGCCCGAGAGGACAGGGACTGAAGACCCCGGCGCGCACGAGTTAGGTCAGTACACCTTCCTTAACTAACCTCTCTTCTCACGACCTAACATGGAGTTGCTACAGCCGAAGCCTCTGATTCAGATGAGCACTATTCTGATGCTCAGTCTTCCCCGGAGAATAGCACTGGCGCAGCTTCTCCCATACCCAGAACTCGAGTCGAGAAAGTAGATGACGAACCCGCCTACGGAGAAGTTCCCGGTACTGAGGCCTATGACAAGCGGACAGAAGATGCCTCGCCTGATGAAATAGCCATTGTACCAGACGAACAGTCTCCACCTACTCCCAGCCAGGCCAGTGCGTCCAAGAGCACAGCCATTCCTAAAACGGTTGTTGACGAGACAGACGACGTTCCTGGATCTTTAACTCACGGCCATCACGACCACCAGCACCAGGCAGATGCTACACCAGACATAATCCGGAAGTCAGACGGCACTAGCAAGGCCGGCCCTGTTCCGGTGTCCCTGGACGCCAACACACAAGACACCGGTACGACAGCCAAGCCCTCTTAAAATCCACACTGCGATTGACCGTGCCTTCGTAGATGACACGGCCGTGAATCAGGCGTTGAAATCCCCGTCTACCCACAGACGGAGGAAGTCTTCAGCCGCCAGATCAATAACGAGTCTCCGCGACAATGAGACAAATGACGATGATGACGATTTTGGTGACGACTTTGACGACTTCGAAGAGGGCGACGAAGATGCGGATTTCGGTGAATTTGATGATGGCTTTCAGCAGGCCGAAACACCTGCAACCACTCAGTCACTGGCAAACCAGCCACAAGTCTCTATACCTTCCTTTGTGTGTTTAGCACCTTCCTTAGATAGCATTATCACCGATGTACTAACTTTTTATGTGCTCAAAGCCAATATTAGACCTTGACGGGCTAGACTCTGAAGACATATTGGTCTCCTCTAAGCCCTACTTGGATGCACTGTATCCACCTGACATACTCGATATTGCTCCTCTACCCTCGCCGCCACACGACAATCCCATATTTTTTAATCCGAGAAGTGCATCACTGTGGTCACAGTTGGCTGCGCCACCTCCCCTTCAGCCTCCGGATTGGATTCGTTCACGGATCAGGAGGCTTTTCCTAGTATCGCTAGGGGTGCCCGTAGATCTAGATGAGATTCTTCCAGCATCTAAGCAGAAGAAACTAGTTTTACCATCTCTTCACCGAGTCACATCGACAGGCTCGCTTCGGACTTCCACAGACTCGCGTTCTGTGTCCCGACTACGAAAATCAGACGCTAACAGATCGTCTGCCTCGGTCGACTCACAGGGCAAGGAGAAGCCCAGATCCGGCTCGAAAAAGCGGAAAGTCTCTCCTCAAAATCCAGATTTTGATTTAGTTGCAGCAAAACAATTATGCGCCACTACAGAAGAGGCTCTAAGAGGCATGACAGACATTGAGCTTCAGCAACACGTGAAGAAGCTAAAAGAAATGGAGGTATTGGCCAACGAAGTACACGAGTTTTGGAAGAAGCGTACAGACGAAAAAATCGGCGATAGGGAGGCGTTTGAGGGCGTGATAGAAAACTTGGTGAAGCACGCACGGAAGACAAGAAAATAATGAGGGATGCCCTACGATGAATTGAATCTAACGATAACCTAATGCCTGCACACCAAGATGCCATGTCCCTGGTGTTTGTGGATCACCTAGATCACTCTTGTCCTCATAATAAGTCATCACAGCGGTCTAAAAGTTATGATTTAGTCTAACACTCCTCCGAGCGTTAAAAGCCGCCCTACCGTCTTTCGATGGCAATAGATGGTCCCAAGTAAACAAAATATACATACACAACGTTGTATAGAGAGCATAGTCGAGTCACGTGGCGTGGCATTGCTACCGAGTTAGCACCAGTTGGTATCAGGCAAAACAGAAAGAAAAAATTAAAGACGATAAAAACCCACAGTCTTAATACTAAGTTCGAAAGGGGAAATAGAGCAAAAATATGACCTCGCTGGGGGTCGAACCCAGAATCTCCTGATTATCGCACAGTATCCATCCTCGAAGTGAATCCCGTGATGAACTATCTATCGTAGTCAGACGCCTTGCCATTGGGCCACGAGGCCGTGTCAGTTGTGTCACATGCCTGTTTGTTATAAACTATAGTCACGCTAAAGTGTTAACACAGGTGGCTTATTAGCCTTACAATAACCATTGCACGTAATAGCATATGCACAACACGCACACATAGTTAGTTGAATTATCTAGGCTAAAAAAACTACTGAAAAAATTGAGCAGAAAGTGAAGAAAAAGAAAGGATGCCCACTGCCAGAGTCGAACTGACGACCTCATCATTACTAGTGATGCGCTCTACCGCTGAGCCAAGCGGGCGTGATTGTGCTTGTTTGATGTCCAGTTAGATGCCTTACATAGTAGGAAAGACTGCTGGGTTAGGGTACTCTTTTCGTTCCTATGTGCTCTGGATCGCCGATGTCCGGACCGTCCGGCAAGTGTGGTGGACCGGCAGTAGATTGATCATGGGAGCTACCTAGTTCGATATGATGCTCAGCTTGGATATCGCGGGTATGGCTGAGACAGAGTAACGTCCGGATGTGACAATTGGCTTTCGAATGATCGGATTTACAGGCTTTATCCTAGTAGTGTTTTGGTCATCCTCCGGATCTAGACAGGCCGGTTTTTAAGGATCTGCACAAGCTCCGATGCTCGTGATTCTCCTCTTATACTGGTAGTAAAGTTGTGAATTTACTATGTAACTGACTGAGCATTCAATCTAAACATGGAGCAGTTCACCCACGGGTTAGACATTGCGTTGACCGCCCCAATTATCAACTATCATTCACCTACTAGGCGTAGGGCGGGTAGCTCCGAGCTTGACCTCAAAACAGGGAAGCATTAGGCAAAAAGCAAGTAGTTAAGGGATACTAAACAGGTCGGGGATACGTAGCCTCGAACACGTCTTCATATGACTAATAAGGCGCCATTCTACCAACCGGGTGGTTAGTCGACCGCCTTCAACAACGTCTCACCATGACAATGCGCTATCTAGCTAGTTCATAGATGATCACTCATAAATGATATACCGTAGAAGCAACGAAGGTATAGTATATCGACCATTACCCTGGTATACTAGCGCAGAAAGCCCATGCTTCGTGCTTCGCCTTTTCCCCGTTCCATGGGCCAGGAAAACTCACCAGGTCTAGGATAAACCATCAAGAGATACGTTGCCTGTGAAACCTGCACATTTAGTAAATTGATATTATAGTCGTGCCAGGTTATGCCGAAAAGCTACCAAAGTTTGTGGTAGTGTTGATAGTAGTCACTCATACTTTTACTATCTCCAACATACTATAGTCATGAAGCTAGTGTAATAGTAAAAGTAAGGGCTTAATAAATAACATTTCATGGCCACGCTTGCGCTACTTAGCGAACTCTCTTTACTCAATATCCTTACTCAAGTTATTCTTCTTAGGCGCTACATACCTAGTTATTATAGATGGGGCTCACATTCTACTTCTACATTGTATAACGGTTGAGAACCGGCGTCCGCTTAACTAAGGAGAACATTAATAAATGGTTACGATATTAGCCTCTATCTCTAAAATTTGAGCTTGAGGGAATAGTATACATGAAACACGCCTATATCCATAGTGTGTTCAGGACACGTGAGATTAGCCCAACGCATACTCCCATATAATTATAGCAGTAAGCATAACTACTACCTTTCATATATTGCTTTTGATAGCATGCAGATCGTTACTGATCGCCGAGTTGGGGCCTACATAAGCTAGGAAAAGATTATACTGCGGTGCTCATAGTATAGCACTTATACTGATCACAGATATCTTTGTCAGCTAAGTTAGTCGATTATGCCTCGGCCTTATTGACGCGTAGCAAGTCATCGAGAGTTAGGTTTCTATTCTCAGATCACCACCTCACCTCGTGAGCTAGCACATGCTGACTGCAGGTATAAAACTATAATGGAGGGTATAGTTGAGTAACTACCACAGGGGTTGATCTGTATCATCAGTAGCCTCAACTTTCATGTGTTTCGTGGCACGTCTAGAAGGCTTCGGTGAAACAGAAAAAAGGTGTTGCCCCTCGATGCGGTCATCAAGTACGGCTGATGGTATCCTAGACGGTAGTAGATGATTCTCTATACCCTCCCTATTTAGGTCGTGAGCCTGGCGGGGAAGTTGGGGTGCCAAGATTTACGAATACCTTCTTTTACATGAGGTTGAGTATAAATTCAGTTAGGGGTGGCGAAGAGGCTCGTCAGCCTCATGCTACATCACCCTTGGCGACATCTTTGAATAACTGACGAGAGGCCTACCTAGTTGATCGAGTCGTTATGGAGAGTACAGCCTTAAACAAGTGCTATAGTACTGTGGTGTTACACAATATTACGACCTAACGACTGCTGGTAGCTTTATCTAGCCTTATATACTTCTAAAAATATCCTTATGGTGTGTAAGTGTATACTGAAAGGGTGCAGTTGTGCGTCGGTGTCAGACGGTTTACCTATAAGTCCCCAAGACACCCAATGATGATACAAAGGTCGAGTTCGCTTGGGGGGTATGCCATCTTAGAGTAGCTAGCTACAGTAGGTTAGGTAATACTTGTCCAACGTGTGGGTTGAGCGGCGATGCAGCCGACGATGATGGCCACCAGACCGATCGGGTTGCAGTGAGCGTGTCCTTAGTCCGTTCACACTGCATAGGTGTCCGCCGACGGGTTGTTCCATACATACTGATAGTGGCGCCATCTACTTAAACGGAAGACTCGATTTTGGGTATGCATTTCAATTTTTTTTCTTCACGCATTAATACATATGTACAAGACCCAAAGTACGCGGTACAGTAAAACATAGGTAGTATGCATCGCTAATTGGGCATCTTTCTGCGGGATTTTGGGGAGGGGAGATGAGAGAGGCTGGATCTTGCCGTTCGCTTGTCTGCATTGAGGGCCTTCATGTAGTGTACCTACCTATCTACCCAGTAGGTCCCATGTTCTGCCCATGCCACTACCCTTCCACTATCCTACCTTACCGCCCAGACACAGAGCACACAGCGTTGATCGATGCAAGTGGTTGGCGACATCACGTCTTGGGGGGCTCTGATTGGCCCATGCTTGAGCACTTACCTGCAGCACACAGACTGTTTCTACCTATGAGATGCGAGGATCGTCGACAAGGGTAGCTTAGCGTGCCTGCGAAGCGCTCTGCTCAACGGCCCCGCTTATCCCCTGTCCATTGTTTCGCCAATCACGGTCGTTTCTCCAACTCTCCGCTCGATGCCGAGAGAGATCCCCTGTTCGTATCCTTGTTGCTCTCGAGCCATTCGACCATTCATTCAGCCGTCATCCACAACCTCATCAGGAAATCACCACTGCAACTGGTTGGGGACTTTATCGGTCGTAAATGATGGGGGCGGTAACGCCAATTCAATATGGCTCCCGTCGAGGTACCCCCGGTCCATAGTGATAGTGTAGCGACCGTTGGCTACACTACCTACCATGACTGACCAGTTTGTCTTGTCTTGTCTTGTCTTGTCTAGAGGAGAGGCCATGACCGAGAAGGGAGGTACCTAGCTTTCTTGGCTGGGTCTACGCATATGTACGAAGCGTGCGTACGGAATACCGGGAATCATTCTTCGATGCTGGGGACTGCCTATGTGCGTTCTCGGTATGTATTGTGTCTAATAGTAATAGTACGATCCCCCCTCCCGTCTCGCCCACGACAAATATACCGCCTTTTCCACTTCATCTCCTGCCACCGAAACCTCTGTCGTCCTTGATCTCCCTGTACCTTGCGTTTGGGAACCTGCGACTTGTTCCGGCGGTACGTGACGCTCGAGCTGATTTGCTAGTTCAAGAGTCTCGACACAATCAAAGTCATTGTGCGGCGTCAGCCCGTTACCCACGGCGTCTACCCGCACTAGACTTGCCCACTCGAGATTGGGGTTGTCCTAACCGCCCTATCAGACGCTCTCCCTCGGACGTGCTACGAGAACCCTGTCCCGCTGTAAGTGATCCCATTGCATGGTGCGCGGTGTGCCATCCCCACCCGCCGTCTACGCAGAAGCCTGAGAGAAGGTCGAATGAGCTCCCAGGAAGACCGAGGGCGCTTATTCAAAACCTATACCTTCTTCCCGTTCCCGGCTTCGTAGACTCCCTTTCTTCGATAGCTGGTCTCCATACTCTTTTTCTTCTCTCAAAATTGCTTCATTCTTTCTCGGACCCCATATCAAAAGACTTGGTTCATGAAGCATTTCTGACCGTACTGGTAGTCGACTCGCAGGGACGAGTGGTTATTCTTTTTGTCATTCACCACCTTACACACAATACTACCTATAATGGCTTCTCAAGATGAGAAGAGGCGCCCTGCCGCCCTCAATCTGACGCCATCACGGTCCTCGTCAACAGATGGATCATTCACTACCACATCTTCACTGAAGCCGCCAAGGACTCCCAGGTTTGCTGAGGCCACCACAGTACACTCACCTATCGAGCCACAAACCAGCAATCCGTTCAGTAGCCGTGATGACGCTTCACAAATTATACAAGCTCAGCCAGCTGATGTAGGCTTTGGATACATCAATGACGATACCCGGACACAAACTGTCAACATGCCTATGACACCAAAATCGCCCTTGAAGAGTGCCATGAAAGTGCCTGGCACTCCTGGAAAGAGATTAGAAAACCCTCTAAGCCCGACATTTAGAGAAGAGGATATCCTCGAATCTAGAGAAAAAGACACCGAAGCAGCGCAAAGGAAGGATGTGGTAAGTTTCCATGACCAGGAGATGTATATGCTATCTTACTAATTACTCTATAGGGTCTCAAATATAAGGTCAGAATGGCCAAATTTGCCCTTCGCGGTATTAGCTTTAGCTGCAGTTTGATCATTATCTCCCTGCTTGCAGTTTCTTTCAGCATCTTCCGTACGACAAATCACCTTGCGGCGCAGAGCGGTCTACCCGCGTGGGCAGAGGGCACCCAACTATGGCCCCAAATCGTCGTTCTTTCGGTCTCTGGTGTCAATCTTTTTCTTTGTATTCTCATCTTCATCGGTTATCTAAGAGGAGGTCACCATCGGGCAGAGAAAGTG